ACCAACGTGTGCAGAGTGTGGAGGGTCCCCCAGGTTTTTAGGGACCAGCCTCAGTTTCCATGTCTGTAAGTGGAGACACTGATAACCTAGTTGTACCCCCTTGCGGGGTGCCAGGAGCACCTCTGTGGATTAGGCTGGGAAAGCCCGTTACCTAATTGGAGAGGTTTCCTCGTGACCCTTGGAGGCCAGCTCTGATGCTTCCTGTGTCCTGTGTGGCCAGAAGTGTCCCTTGGGGTGGGAAGATTCAGACTGAAGGCCTGGCCAGTCACTGAGCTGCTCTCCCCACCCAGCCCCTTCGATGCCAAGAACCCCTTCTTGGCTGTCGTCACCACCAACCGGAAGCTGAACCAGGGAACCGAGCGACACTTCATGCACCTGGAATTAGACATCTCAGACTCCAAAATCAGGTATCAGCTGCTGCCACCCCCCACCCCCTCAAACCTTTCACTCAGGCCTCCTGTTTGGGTGCAGAGCTGTCTTCCACCCTCCTCCTGAGCCTCGCATCTCCCCCAGGTATGAATCTGGAGACCACGTGGCTGTTTACCCAGCCAACGACTCTGCCCTGGTCAACCAGCTCGGCGAGATCCTGGGTGCCGACCTGGACGTTATCATGTCCCTGAACAATCTTGACGGTGAGTCCTGGGATCCAGGCCTCCCTATCTACCTGGGCCTGAGGTGGCTGGTGGGAATGGGCCCCTTGGCAAGGTCCACAGGTTGGACTTCTGCTTAGGCCTAAAGCCTGGTGCCCTGGAAGCCCTCGTAACCGAGACCCCAGTTACAGGTCGTAGAACAAACTCAGGGTCGGGGGAAAAGGTAGCTGCAGGGTCTGGCATGCTCCCTTTCGGGGTTCCCCCATCCCCTCACTGCCATACTCCCTGGAGGGAATGGGTGCCTGGAGACAGAGCCAGCCCGTGTCCTACAGGGAAGAGAGCCACAACTGGCCGCTGAAGGCCCTCTGGCTCCAGGGTCTCCTCACCTGTGAAGCCAGGGATCCGAGTCAACAATCCTGATGGCCCTCCAGGCCCATTCAGGTGCTCAGAGTGCAAGGGGCACTACCGTGGGGCAGGGCTGCCCACTACCTGGGGCCCAGCACGGCCTGGCCCTGCCCCTGCCCCGCTCACTCTTGTCCTCAGTGGCCTGAGCCTGGGCAGCTCCTTCTCAGCAGCTCCCGAGTCAGCCTTGAGAGGAGCTGCGTGAAAGGGGGCTCATTTGTATCAGAATTCATTGTGCCGGCAGTGCACTCACGGTCGGTAGTGCACGCGTGGGCCTTTCTTGCACTGGGGGGCATGTCTCTTGTGCCATCTGAGGCAGGACCTTGCTAGGGGTCAGGAGGGGTGTTGGTGCTCCCTCTGCCCCAGGAGACTCTGGGCCCCTGTGAAGAGCGGGTC